CTCTAGTATGTTATGGTATTTTGTAAAACGTCTAGACCACCTAAACAATCGTCTAGGTTCCGATTAAGCGTTTTATGCACTAGGCGTTGGGTCAGTGCGTATTTAGTGCCTAATGCTTTCTTGAACATTGGTTAAACCTAATTATTAGAATAAGCTAACGGAAAAAAAAATGTTACTGAGTATGACATATTCAAATTGATGGGTACCTCCACAAACACTTGCCGCCGGTGAAGAGGCAACTGTGGATAATCGCAAGAGAATATAATATGGAAAATCTTTTATAGAGGGAATGACAGCAGACAACGCTTTGTAACAAACATTCCTACAACACATTAAAACCAAACAAATAGAATATGGAAAATCTTTTATAGAGGGAATGACAGCAGACAACGCTTTATAAATTTGAAGATGAAACAAAACAAAGGATTGTGAAAATTTAACAGAAAAGAAAACTGTGGAACATACCTTCACCAATTTCACGCCTAATTATTTCACTGCTTTGAGGTGTAGAATCCATTATCTCACTAATTTCTCGATCATAGTACGAATCATAATCTTCAATTACTAAAATATCATTTAGTTGTTCATTAACGAAGCCCAAATCATAACCAACTCTAAATCTTTTTCTTGGGGGCACACCAAGAGAATCAGCCCTTAGTGCTTGATCAGGTCTACAAAGTATTGTTTTGCAGAACACCTTCAAAGACAACTAGATTTGAGCAAGAGTACAGAGATAATTATATTTGAAGTTTTGTTCAACACAAAAATGACCTTTGTCACTCCGCATGAAAGATTTGATGACCCATGCGCCCATGGTAAATAACCAAGTTCACATTCTATAGGTCTTATTTGGTGAAGACATCTCCTGTCAAATTGGTATCCTTCAGATTTCATTTCCATCATGTGTGCCTGTGACAAACAGAAAAAATTGTAAACCTAGCTACATACTGGCTATTCAAAACAAATCCTTATTTAAACATTAGCTATCAAAAACAAATCATCTAACTATATAACTAACTTCTCTTTTTAACATCATTGACTTTTTCTTTTCCAATTTTCTGCTCCACGAATTTGATGATTGAGATCCTACAAAAATAAGAGATAAATGAAACCCGGGAACAAGTATTAGCTAGCCACATACATCTTGTTACATGAGGAATAAAAGTAGTGAAATAACTTGTATCATGCATATTCTTAGAAATCGTTTTTAACACTTCACTCTTGTGGTCCTTCCCATAACGATCTCTCAGCCTTACTAGAGAATCAATGCATTTAACAGCCTACACACACAAAAATAATAGAATGCAAATACATAAAATTGTTTTCGAGCAAAAAAAATCAATTAAATTTTACAAAGAAGCCGTGTAACCTACCTCTAGATGAGCTAGCTTTAGATTAGTTTCTAGATCGCTCTCTGAGATCTCAGGAGCTTCCAGGTCAACCATGACAGTTTTTTCGCGCGTACATACATATAACAAGTTGATATCGCTTTCACGTTGCTGCATAAAATTTGAAATGGTGATGATTGAAAAATAAATAGAAAGAAAGAGGAAGAGGATATTGAAATTTACCTCCTCCGTGGTAGGATTTATTATGATCTTTTCATCAATCCTTCCAATGCGGATAGCTCCTATAGGTCCAACCCGCGTGTCATTCGAGATCATAAGAGCAGCTGAAGTTGCAATGATCGCCAGTAAGTCAGCATCATGTCTTTCGTTTGATTCTAAAACACGTGCATATACCTACAAGAAACAATTATAACAATTGGAAAATCATGATATAATTTGTATGTTCAAAAAAAGAGCAAATACTATACCATAGTTTTCGAAGAGAACCCTGAACTAAACAATGGTCTTATCGATCTTTCAATTAGAGTACATACGACCTCCCGATCTTTTATGTCACCATATGTCGGCTCATCATAATAAACCATTTTTTCTTCTTTTTTTGGCACCCCATCATAATAAACCTTGAAACAAGAAAATTTCATGATTAGAAATATATCCAATTTAATCTAAATTTTGAAAGAGTTAGATAAACGTAACGTACCTCTAAGACCTTACCATCTTTGGGCTCGACCACGATCTTGGACTGTACCGTAGTGCCATTCATATTACACGATACACAAGTTCGATTTCCTTGATCAAATCCCACCTCAAGGCTAATTATGTGAGATCCAAGTTTGAATACTTCAACGATGGGCGGGTTAAAGCAGTTGAATATAGTCCGCACGCTGAGATTACGCCAAGGAAGACAAGACAAAGCTCTTATCTTAGATGCATTCGTCATTAGAAACTCAGCTCCTGCATGTAGAGACGAAATTCCCATTATATTAATATGACATATCTAAAGCCATAACTAAAAAAAATTCTAAACCCTAAACCAAAGGAACCTTGAGCGTGAAGCTCCCGACGACAAGTCTCTTTCGATTCCAAGACTCTCAGTTGACGAGACACACCAATACTTATTCTTGACATAACGCAAGATCGAAAAACTGCCAACGCCATTTTTTTTTATCCTGTGACGACGAAGAATCGCAGATTTATTAAATTAGGGATTTCTATGGGTTTTTTTTTCTTTTGATAAAAAGGGTTTATATAGGGATAATAAATTATGGGCTTTCATTCCCTGTAAACTTTCGAACCTTGTAATATAGTTCGATAATATATAAA